GAAAAAAAAAAAAAAAAATATATATATATATATATATATATATATATATATCTTATATATTGTCTGTGTTATACCACATTGGCTCTCACCTCGTCTTTTATTAAAGAGGGAATGTAGGCGGTATTAATAAGAAGAGAGTAGTTTCACATTTCACAGCCCATACATTTTACAGGGTGTCGCCACCTTCAAAGGTGTTTCCTATTGGCCAATTTCTTTGGACGGAGGCGGTGACAATGCTGTTCAGCTTTTCTGATTGGACAGTCTACCTGCCCATCAGGAATCTTCTTTAGCTCACGGCCATCTGACAGCGGTACTGCAGGGAGCTGACAGGAGCCTCTCCAGCTCAACACATTTTCACGTAATATTTTTTCCATAATGACATTTTCTTTGTTTAGTTACGTTTCCTCAAGACGCATATGAAGGCGCGGTTAAATGCAGTTCACCGACTGAGGGGGTTCTCCTCTTAAAAGGTAAACCAGTTCATTTACCGATCATACGTTTAAGGCAAGATGAAAGGTAAAAAGTAAATCCCCATATGCACTGTATATGCTTTTAGATGAAGTTTTCAAAACAGACATAGCCTTTGTTTGGTGCGTTACGATCCGAGCATAGAGTGTGTAAACGCGGAGAAAGAATAATCGGTATAACCCAAGATAGATATCAACATTTGGTAAAACATATAACGTTACAGTACGTTACAGAGAACCGCTTTTTGGGTTGTTGCTTGTTGCTTGCTGTAGACATTGAATTTCGTAAGACATTTCATTGTTGCGCTTCCGGCTTCTTACGTTCCTTTTTTTCGAGATTGTATGAGAAACAGCTTGAGGGTGTGGGAAGGGTCTGTCTTTTGGGATGCTATCACTAAAATTGTCTACTTTTTTGTCGTTTTAATAGATTTGAAAAGGAAATACAATTATCCCCCCCCCCCCCCCCCCCCCCCCCCCCCCCCCCACACACACACCTCATGTTTTCCGGACATTATCGATGAATTAGTTTCGTAAGATTCGTCCTTATTAATTCATGTGCCCGAGAAGCTTTACGCAGAGAGCTGATGTTACGTAAGCGGTGATGTCTATTCATTGTCCAAGAAGAAACGCCCCGTTTTACATCACGTTACCTTCATTTCAGGTTAAACCTTTTTTTTTTTGTATTCGCAATAAATGTAAAGTCATAACATGTTTTTCATAAAGTGTGGTTTTCAGGATCCTGATATTTTACTTTAACGCGTATCAATTTGCATACATCGCTGTGGCGTTTGCATTCATAAGGTATGAAAATAACACCTGGCCCATTGTTTGGGAACCTGGCGCGTTTCCCCCCTTAGCTCGGTTCGTTTGGGCATATGTGAACACAGAAATCGCGCTCGGATCCGCACCAAAACAACCGGTCCGAGATCGCCTGAACGAGGTGGTCTCGGCTCGATTGAAAACGAACTCTGGAGCGGTTCGGTTGTGGTGAGAATGCAATCTGATCCAACGGACCAGGCTATATCACAATGTATAATGGGTAATTACGTAAGTTCTGTGAAAAGCATTAGCTTTGTTGTTTTGCTAATACCTCAAAATGAACCTGTGGATGTCTGTGGGTGAGCACGTCTTCGCCATTCAAAATCAAAGCGCACTTTTTCATTTTATAATGCCGTCTTATTGCTCTTCTTCCTAGTATGTGCATTTTCAAAATGTTTTCCCGATGAATCCTGGACTCCTGCTCAAATTTATAAGTAAATTAAACGACATCTACAAAAAACAACAACAATAAGCCTGCGAAGCTGTTGTCGTTCCATCCTGACCTATGATCCTGACGGATGACAGCCGTGACAGCTCAGTGGAATCCCGGAAAATAAACCGTGAACCTTTGACCAATGAGAGAACAGTTTACTTGCGCGTGACTTGTATTAACAAATTTGGTCCATATAGAAACATTGCCATGTGAAAGCGAACCGCACCAAGAATAAAAAGCTACATTGTAATAATTTTAATCCCTGTTTCGGAACAAAGCAATCGATCTACAGGTGTGAAAACACCCTAAGACAATAAAAAGTAGGGCACGATTTTAAAATGTACCATTTAAAACGTTTTAAAAACGCAAACCTTTAAAAAAATATAAGGATTGTGCAATTTAGGTAATGAAATTACATTTATTTAATTACATTTTAAGCTGTTAAATTAAATAAAATTAATTGATTTGTTTTAATTGTTTTACCCTTGTCCCAGCTCATACTTTAAATCTTAAACTATAAAAATGTGAATTATTTTATATTTAAAACCGGGATGACCTAAATTGTGTGAAAACCAATTAAATATTAATTTAAAGAAATGTAAACACACACACACACAC